CTCTCTCTCTCTCTCTCTCTCTCTCTCTAACTCACACACACACACACACACACACAAGCGACGTGTTTTGCCTCTCTCTTTAAATGTCTTTTCGGCTCTCACCGCTTTCATCTTTTTTTCCTACGGTTTGTTCCTTGTCTTAGTCGCCTTCCTCGTCCTCTTCCTGGCGTACGATGATGAGGTGGGTCTACGTTATGTTTTGCTCCCAACAAAATGTATATGATGATGAGGTGGTATTATCCTTTAGTCCTCTTCGTGCAATTAGTATTAGAATCTATGGTATAGATCCTTTGACAACTTTATCTTCTGTCCTTCCTGTCATAAGATGATGAGCCTACTTGTTTGAAAGGATCATAAGGTTGAAGGGATCGTGAGGATCTTCAAAAAGCTATGTTCTTCTTCGCTCCGTGAAACACCGTTTCTTCACATATGCACACCCCTTTTGCTCCCATCGCCATTCTTGTCATGCATAACAAATTAATAATACTACTAAGAAGAAGCATACATGCGGTTTTTGTGTTGTAGTGATCTGTACTGTACTCCAGTGTATGTTGTGGACGTATTTGCTGTTGAGAACCATCGTAGATATAAGGTCTAATAAATGCTAATTGGGCCATGTGAATGGGGCCAATTGGGCCGTGTGAATGGGGCCTATTGCGCCGTGTAAATGGGCCCATAAGGGCCATAATCCCATAACACATCTGTCCTGAGGTGCTCAGGTTATCGTATATGTTTTAAGACCTTTCAGACGTGTTTGCCCTCAGGGTGGTGTGGCTGCTAGTATGGTGTCATCCCCAATGAATCTGGCGCCTCGTTGTCTGCTCGCTTAGTCTGGATGCAATGCAACTGAGGGCCCCCTGCTCAATTACTTCATCATTTAATAGTGACCATTCACTCAGCAGGAAATCTTCGTTGTCGTGCAATATTTTTCTTAAAAACTCTTTGCTATTCAATGTTTCACACACTCACTCACACACACACACACACAAAACAACTTTGTCCACACACACACACACACAAAACAACTTTGTCCAAAAACTATCT